TCTACCCCCTCCCCCCTTCTTCTGCCCCTGCCCCCTTCGTCTATCCCGTCTCCTTCCCCCCCCTCCCCCTTCCACTTCTTCCCCTCCTCTCCCCCTTCTTCCCTTCCTTTTCCTCTTCCCCCTCCCCCTTTTCCTCCTTCCCCTCCCCCTTTCCTCCTTCCCCTCTCCCCTCCCCTTATCCTTCTTCCCTTCCCTTTCCCCTCCCCCTTCATCCCTCCCCTCTCCCCCTTTCCTCCTTCCCCCCTACCCCCTCCCCCGTATCGCTTGTCTCTCTCCCGCGCGGGCGTGGCATGCACACTCCAGAGCACTTAAAGGAACATTAACCAAATTGAAATCAAGGTCTGAGGCCTTCATTAATCTAACGAACGCGAACCGAGACCCTTTGAGCGCGGCCTTAGTTTCGAAAGATCCTTTTTCGTAATCTTTTCCAACCAGCGATTCAGTGTCGTCTAACCTTTCCAACATTTATGCGACGGCCGTGCGCATATCGAGCGGCGTTTCCCCTTCAAGGTTTGGCTAATTTTGCCTGCACGTGAGTCGATCGGTTTCTCGGCGTGTAAACACAGACGCAGACGTAGTTTATTCTCGTTTTTTCGCGTTTTAAGGATTCATTTTAACGACTTCTTTTGGCGGGAGTGGATTCGATCGTCGACTATGAGTGTTCGGATCCTTGGGAGTCGGATTCGATGCCACGTGGTAGGCGGTGACGCTGCGATTTTGTTGGAAGCCGAAGAATAAGAGTGAAACCACGGCTGTTGTGCGGTTATTTATCCTTGAAATTCGTTTTAGGTGTTAGCGTGGGTTAGATCCTGTAGCGTGTACTTCTCTCTCGTCTCATTTCTCTTCTCTGTCTTTTCGCTCTCCTCTCTCTTTCCCACTCCTCTCTTTGCTCTCCTCTCTCTCTTTGCTCTCCTCTCTCTCTTTGCTCTCCTCTCTCTCTTTGCTCTCTCCTCTCTCTCTTTGCTCTCTCCCTCTCTCTCTCCTCTCTCCTCTTTGCTCTCCTCTCTCCTTTGCTCTCCTCTCTCTCTCTCTCTCTCTCTCTTTGCTCTCCTCTCTCTCTTTTGCTCTCCTCTCTCTCTTTGCTCTCCTCTCTCTCTTTGCTCTCCTCTCTCTCTTTGCTCTCCTCTCTCTTTGCTCTCCTCTCTCTCTCTTCTCTCTCCTCTCTCTCTTTGCTCTCTCCCTCTCTCTTTGCTCTCTCCCTCTCTCTTTGCTCTCTCCCTCTCTCTTTCCATCTCCCTCTCTCTTTCCATCTCCCTCTCTCTTTTCCTTCTCCTCTCTCTCTTCTCTCCCTCTCTCTTTCCTTCTCCTCTCTTTCCTTCTCCCTCTCTCTTCTTTCCTTCTCCCCCTTCCTCTATCTTTCCTTCTCCCCTCATCCCTCTCCTTCTCTCTTTCCTTCTCCCTCTTCTTTCCCCCTCTCTCTTTCCTTCTCCCTCTCTCTTTCCTTCTCCCTCTCTCTTTCCTTCTCCTCTCTCTTTCCTTCTCCCTCTCTCTTTCCTTCTCCCTCTCTCTTTCCTTCTCCCCTTCTCCCTCTTCTCCCCCCCCCTCTCTCCTTCTCCCCCTCTCTTCCCCTCCTCCTCTCTTTTCCCCTTCCCCCCTTTCCCCTCCCTCCCTCTCTCCTTCTCTTTTTCTTTTTATATTGCGTTGCTAGGTTTTTAATATTCATGGATTTAAAAATTGTTTTATTCATCTATTCATTAAATCATTTCATTTCATTGTCATTATTGCTATTGTTACGATCATTCATTTTCAAACAGACATTGGAAATCCTATATGATCATAACATACACATGGACCTACATGTAGCAGTGCATTTTGGTCTTTTCACCTTTATTTTTTCTCTATTCTTTATCTTTATTCTCTTCTACCACTTCTCTCACCCTTCTTCACACTTAATTTCTACGTAAGTCCCTTGCCGTATTTCAACCTTCGGCTCATTTTCAGTCTCCTTTTTTCTTCTCGTTCCACTCCCCACTCCTCTCTCTCTCCTCTCCCCCGTTTCTACCTCTTTCACTTCTTTCTTCACTTATTTCGTTCTTATTTTATCCCTCTTCTTCGTTTCCTTCTTTTCTTCCCCTTTCAGGTTCTACCCTCTCGTCAATTCTCCGCGTCCTTCCTCTCCTCTCCCTTCTCTTTCCCTCTTTTCCTTCACCTCTCACTCCTCTCTTCCCACCCCCCTCTTCTCCGTCCCTTCTCACCCCCTACGCTAACCCTGGTCTGAGCTCTAACATCAATATTTAGCCGGCGCAACGTTTTTTACATGGCGTCTGTAAGCCAGATTTGTGTAGCGTTTGTGTGCGTATGTATGTGTGGGGGTTGTGTGTGTGTGAGCGTGTGCGTGTGCGTGTGCGTGTAGGAGGGGGAAAGAGAGGGTGTGTATGTGTGTTAGTGCAGGGGTTTGAGTGGAATGTGTGTGTGGGTGTGGGGCGGGGGTGTGTGTGTGTGTGTATTGTGTGCGCGTGGGTGTGGGTTTTTGTGTGTGGATTTGCGTGTAAAGGTTCATATGTCTGTATTTAGTGAGCGAATGTCTGTAGGTGTGTATTTTACTGCGTTTTTGTTTGTTTGTAAAAAATATCGCATGGATTGAAAGCTGGAATTTGTCACACTAGAACTAGAAGAAAAAAACACCCTCATCTAAATCTCCTACCTTATTTTTCCCCTCTTCAGTACATTACCCTTTTCAGTATATACATTTTTACTTGTTTGTTCATCCTTCGTATTGTACTTACGTCTTTCCTTTTATCTTTTCTTTTATTTACGGATGTGTTTTTGTTTCTTTTTTCTGTTAGCGTCATTTTATATATAAAAAAAACATCTTTCAGTCTAGACATGCATATCTACTGGATAGATAGATAGATACATGTATATATCAGATAAATACAGACATGCATTTATTTATCTGTATCTGCATGTTCGTATATATGAATATTGAATGGGTCGAAACGCAAAAGCTGAACAAACTGGCCTCTAATTATTATTCTTTGTCATCTTTCTCATCTTCACACCATAAATCGTTATTTTCGTCACATCATAAAACATGCTTGTGAAAAAGTGACAAGACACTACACACTGGAAGGCAACTGTCATCCTTGTCACGGCACTAACATACTTAGAAGATAGCGATCTGTGCAAGATTTTTTTACAATTCCCAAGAAAAAAAAGAAAAATCACGAGTTTCAGCGCAACAGAAATGGACAAGAAATAATGCCACTGTTGTAGCATCGCAGAGGACGCTGAGACGGAGGCAGTGCAACCTGGGTTATCGCACTAGAACAGCGGGTCGCGTGTGATTGCTTTGCAGACGACGCAAAAGGCGGTCAACGTGTGGGACACTTGCACCCTTCCCCCTCCCCTCTCCCTCCTCCTTCCTTCTCCCCTCTCTCTCCCTCCCCCTTCCTCCTCTCCTCCTCCCTCCTCCCTTCCTTCCCTCTCCATCCTCCCTTCCTTCCTCCCCCTCTCCTCTCCCTCCTCCCTTCTCCCTCTCCTCCTCTCTGACCTCTTTCCTCCTGTGCCCCTTACCTATTCTTCTGACCTCTTATATCTCATCCTCTTTAAACTCTGACCTCATTCTCGCCTTCCTCTTGACCCCGCTTTTCGTTTCTTTTCTTTCCTTATATCTCTCTCTCTCGTACGTCGATTCGTACAACCCTGTCGTATCTCGATCCGATCAACCTTGGGGCACTTCCTTACTCATCAACCTTGGTGCTCCGCATTCTCGGTAGAACTCTAACCTGGTGCGTCATCTGAGATCAACTCCTGCGGGTCATCCTGAGATCATCATCCCTCGTGGCATCCGGAGATCAACCGGTGGCAAACTCCTACCTGAGCTAAACCTACTAAGCTCGCATTTCTTAAACTCTCTTCGCCTCACGGAAGACAAATATATTTCTCTGGGGGTCCGTTTTCACCATGCGCGTGGTCGTAGTATTTACATCAATACTCTCACGCGGCGTTAATTATACGGGCGCACCAACAATCCCCTCGGTGCCCTACTTCTCTGCGCGTCTGCCCGATTCCTCTTACTACTCCTCTCCTCTCCTCTGACTCTCTCGATACCTCTATCCTCTCCCATTATGCTCCCCCCCTCACGCACTACCCCACGGTCTATCGAGATGTTGTTTTGTGTACCTGGGTCGAATTGTTTTTCATTTAGCTGTCGTAGCATATATTCGTGTCTCACGCGCATATTATGCTAGGTGTATTAAATGTTAATTTTTGTTCGATTTTCTCTTTATTTTCGCTTATAGAGGTTTCGATTAACTCGTGCAGCGTGTGCGCGCTCTGCACCTTGATTCCACCTCTACACTTTAAATGCACCTCTGGGATAAAGAGGATGGTTGAATGCGTATCAATCATATTGACTAACATTCCTCTTTATTTTAAAGTGTATATGAATCCCAGAATATATCTATCTAATAACAATAGTGTATCTAGTTTTAGGCTAGTCCTTATGTAGCCTTAATTAAATAAGGTTTATACAATTTCTGGGTTATACTCTCTATAGAGATACATTTTTGTGTATTATTACACTGTCTCGACCGAGTGTTAGCACCTGAGCGATGTGTGGTATTAGCTAGGTGAGCTGAGCGTCTTTCTAGCTGAATGGTTGAGCTGCGTTTCTCTCGTCTTCTCTCTCTTCTGCGTCTCGTCTCTGCTGCTCTCTTCTCTCTCTCTTGTGGGTGTGTGTGTGGGGGTGTGTGAAGAAAGAGAGAGGGAGAGAGGAGAGAGAGAGAAGGAGAGAGGGAGAGAGGGGCGTCGTCGAAGGTGAGGCTACTCGTCGTAGCTCACTCGTCGGCATCGTGCACACAACACACACAAGCAGCACCAACACACAACAGCAAACACACACACACACACACACACACACACACACACCAGCACACACACACACACACACACACACACACACACAAACAACACACACGTCTCCATAAACAGACCCTAAATAATCATGCCACGACCTTAAATCGGTTTCTTAAAAAAAACAATTTTCCTCCTCACAGAATGGGGGAGCAGAGCGGAAGTCGCATAGCCTTGATACTAGTCAATTTCCTAGTATTTGCCGGGACTGTCGCCATCAACCAGCTCTCGGCCTTTCCCCAGTTCGCAGGAGGTGAGTTCCGACCCCCGAGATACCCCAGGGTTGGTCCCTAAATACCCCGGAGATATTGTAAATACCCCACGGGTGAACGGAAATTTCTCGTGGGCAAGATTTCAGATGCTTTAAGGTTGATCTTAGATGCCCCAGGTTGATCTCAGATGCCCCAGGTTGATCTCAGATGCCCCAGGTTGATCTCAGATGCCCCAGGTTGATCTCAGATGCCAGGTTGATCTCAGATCCCCAGGTCCCCCAGGTTGATCTCAGATGCCCCCAGGTTGATCTCAGATGCCCCAGGTTGATCTCAGATGCCCCAGGTTGATCTCAGATGCCCCAGGTTGATCTCAGATGCCCCAGGTTGATCTCAGATGCCCCAGGTTGATCTCAGATGCCCCAGGTTGATCTTAGATGCCCCAGGTTGATCTCAGATGCCCCAGTTGATCTCAATGCCCAGGTTGATCTCAGATGCCCCAGGTTGATCTCAGATGCCCCAGGTTGATCTCAGATGCCCCCAGGTTGATCTCAGATGCCCCAGGTTGATCTCAGATTGCCCCAGGTTGATCTCAGAATGCCCCAGGTTGATCTCAGATTGCCCCAGGTTGATTCAGATGCCCAGGTGATCTCAGATGCCCAGGTTGATCTCAGATGCCCCAGGTTGATCTCAGATGCCCCAGGTTGATCTCAGATGCCCCAGGTTGATCTCAGATGCCCCAGGTTGATCTCAGATGCCCCATTTGATCTCAGATGCCCCAGGTTGATCTCAGATGCCCCAGGTTGATCTCAGATGATTGATCTCAGATGCCCCAGGTTGATCTCAGATTGATCTCAGATGCCCCAGGTTGATCTCAGATAGGTGATGCCCCAGGTGATCTCAGATGCCCCTCCCCAGGTTGATCTTGCCCCAGGTGATCTCAGATGCCCCAGGTTGATCTCAGATGCCCCAGGTTGATCTGATGCCCAGGTTGATCTTAGATGCCCCAGGTTGATCTCAGATGCCCCAGCCTCAGATGCCCCAGGTTGATCTCAGATGCCCCAGGTTGATCTCAGATGCCCCAGGTTGATCTCAGATGCCCCAGGTTGATCCCCCAGGTTGATCCCCCCAGGTTGATCTCAGATGCCCCAGGTTGATCTCTAGGTTGATCTCAGATTTTTTTTACTCTTTGGCGTATGATTTGTAGCCGGGCATATTTTGACTAATTTTGAAATAAAATAAAGTAAATAATAATAGAGTAAAAAATCTCGTCTTAATTTTCAGGCTTAGATTCAACGAGACGATAACGAATTTCGAAAATAAAACAAGTCTTCGAATTCCATAACATCCGTTATGCTTTCAACCTTTTCCGGATTTTCAAGAGGATAAACGTCTCTCTCGTTTCAATTTGCTCTAATATGCCTCGCGCCGAATCATTATTGGAATCCCGTAATGTTTCATCCGGATTCCGCGTTTGTTGCGTTCAAATGGGCAATTGGGGAGAAAACCCTGATTACATAACGGATTAGTTTCGGCACCATCGCCAGATTTATTGCTTTTATTAGCTATACTGTTTGCCCAGCGCTTCGCATTTCCCGCCACAATGGAATCGCGCCATTGGCCAGAGCGCGGACCAATCAGCGTGCGTCGTTACCCTGGCTCTTATACACCGGCTGAGATTTTGATGTATGGTATGGTTTTTTTCGACTATGTAAATGCATCGATATCCTTCCATTTTTTTTATTAATTTTATCGTAGTTCTCTCTGTAGTAACATATTTGTATTTAAAGAACGAGAACAAACAAAAATGCATGCCGGTTGTAATTCAACAGCCGATGGAAGAGTATGATTTAGTCTGTGTGCCAAGACGAGCACAAACGGAAGGGAAGCCTAAATTCAATATTATTGTAGAAATTACAAATTCCTGTTCGTATGCCTGTTCGCCATTTCCGTTCCAAATCCTTATCTCAGTGATATCATACCCTTTTGTGTTTATACGAACGATAAGGGGTTTCCGGCTTTGATGATAACATTACGAGCAGATTAAGAATTGGCATTAAATAGCTAGCATTCCTCCCTTAGGCTTGATAGAACCTTCTTTTGACATTTAACCGTCAGGCTTCTGTGGCAATTACTTGCATTTTCGACGGCTGTGTCTCAATGGCTGGGCCTTTATTTGTCTCTCGATAAAGAACGCGATGGTCACGGTTGAAGTGAATGTTTTGCTTTATATATTGTTATCAGATAGATCGTTATTATTAGCTAATATATCGATGGAGACTTGTTGAATTAGCATTTATAGCTTAATGATTTATAAATAGACTTGTAGCCTTAAGCATTTCGGTAAAAATACGTCTCACTTACGGGAAGAACCTTCGCAATGACAGCCAGGGCAAGGCGCAAGCACACTGCAGCTTTATCTTGCAACTTGATAATGCAGACACTGGCTTGGAACAAAAGATACAAATTTTGTGGGATTTGAACTGCAAACCTTAACGACGCAATTTTTGTAAAAGCCCGCCCGAGTGAAGGAGGGATGAGATGGGAAATTAAACCTAAAGCTCCATGTCGTTTAGGGTTATTATCGCTTGCAAAGATGGTGGAAGGACTTGAGTTTGTTAATAAGAGTGAGAGTGGGTGGGTGAGATAGAGAAAGAGAGTTAGTGAGTGAGGGAGTAAGAAAGAGAGAAAGGGAGAGAGAGAGAGAAAGGGAGAGAGAGAAAGAAAGGGAGAGAGAGAAAGAAAGCAAAAGGGAGAGAGAGAAAGAAAGCAAAAGGGAGAGAGAGAAAGAAAGCAAAAGGGAGAAAGAGAAAGGGAGGAAGAAAGATAGAGAGAGAGAGAAAGAAAGAAAGATAGAGAGAGAGAGAGAGAGAGAAAGAAAGAAGAAGAGAGAGAGAAAGAAGAAAGATAGAGAGAGAGAGAAAGAAAGAAAGAGAGAGAAGAGAAAGAAAGAAAGGAGAGAGAGGAAAAGAGAGAGAAAGAGGGAAAGAAAGAGAAAGAGGGAAAGGGAGAGAGAGAGGGAAAGAGAGAGAGAAAGAGGAAAGAGAGAGAAAAGAGGGAAAGGGAGAGAGAGAAAGAGGGAAAGGGAGAGAGAGAAAGAGGGAAAAGAGAGAGAGAGAAAGAGGGAAAGGGAGGAGAGAAAGAGGGAAAGGGAGAGAGAGAAAGAGGAAAGGGAGAGAGAGGAGAAGAGGGAAAGGGAGAGAGAGAAAGAGGAAAGGAGAGAGAGAAGAGGAAAGGGAGAGAGAGAAAGAGGGAAAGGAGAGAGAGAAAGAGGAAAGAGAGAGAGAAAGAGGAAGGGAGAGAGAGCGAAAAGAGAGAAATAAAGAAAGGGAGGGAGAGATAGAAAGAAAGGGAGAGAAAAAGAAAGACAGGGTGAGAGAAAGAAAGGGAGAGAGAAAGAAAGAAAGGGAGAGAGAAAGAAAAGAGAGAAGAGAGATCGAGCAAGATAGACTAAGCAAGAGAGAAGAGAGAGAGAGAAAGATAGAAAGAGGTATCGAGCAAGATGGAAAGAGAGAAAGAGTGCAAGAAAGAAAAAAAAGAATAGAAAGAAGGAGATAGACAAATAGGAAGAGAACGAGAGAGAAGAAGGAAAGATAAAACAGTAACACGACCGTCTGACTTTACAATTTGGGATAGAAGCGCCACATCATGTCGTCCTGTGGCGGCCAGATCCTCGAACCGCCTGACTCCGCTGTCGAAAGCCCGCGTCCAGAAATTCCTCATTGCGGCTAATGAACCCGCGGTCGCATTCAATTTTATTATCATTTTGTTTTCTGTCGCACAGGAAAAATACAAGTAAAATTAAAGGAAATGAAAGTTGGAATTTGCCAGGTTATTGTGTCAGTGAAATCCGTATTTTTCTTACGTGCTGATTTTCCACTCTTTGACCTCTGTGTTGGGGGGGGGGGTACAGGAAGGGGTGAGGGGTGAAGAGGGTGGTGTGGGAAGGCCCGAGAAAGGCAGGTCATAGGTATAGTATTATTTGTGTGCAGGCTGTTTAGTGGATTTTTGTATGTGTAATATCGTGTGAAAGAGAGACACGGATAGATATTTACAGGGTTATATAAAACATATATCATTCATATAAACATATACATACATAATAACCACACATCACACATATCACACCACACAGACACACACGCACAGGCACACACGCACAGGCACACACGCACAGGCACACACGCACACACACACACGCACACACACACACACACACACACACGCACACACACACACGCACACACACACACACACAACACACACACACACACACACACACACACACACACACACACACACACACACACACACACACACACACACACACACACACACACAAATAAACACACACACACTCACAATATCTCAAACACACACCAAACTTTTACACAAAAAACACCCGCACTTACACCATTGGAACAATAAGGACAGGCGTGGATGCGTGCCAGGCCTTGCCTGATTAGGTTTGTCAACATGTTTATGTGCACGAATGTTTTCATGTGGAAGGAAGGGTGTGAGTGGGTATATTTTGTGTTTTTTAAACTCTGGGCTTATCTTTGTATGATACCAAAACATTTTTAACGTTATGATAATAATGACTCATTATTTTTTTCTAATCTTTATTTAATATTTTCAGCCTTTGTTTGTTTGTCTCTGTTACTTGGTATAACATTTTATTAAGTTGATTTGATATTTCTTCTCTAATACAAATTTTCTCTTTAAATAATTTTCTTGTTTGCAGTCTGTAAATAAGTTTTCGTATTTCGCAGTAAAAGTAAACATTTCTTTATAGTCACTCTTCTCATCCTTAATTTTCTTTTATTTTTTGTGCATCAGTTAAATCATTTATTAATATGATTAATATCCTTTAAGTAAAAATAAAAGATATCCGTACGTGTGTATACATCTTTTTCCACCTTTGTCATTTTATTTTTTTCCTTACTGATATTACTTATCTAAGTCCTCAATTCAAGGATCGGACAAAAAATTGCGGAATCTTATCTATGGAAGTAACCCCTCCATTCGTGTTTTCCAGGTCTCTTTGTTAAACTGAGGGACTTTGCCACCACCTATGGGCTGGGTGTCCCTCCACAAGGTAAAGGATGACGTGTACTTAAAGCCTGGTGCATGGCGTCGGTGCTCTCGCTCCCTCTCGCATGACAGCTGGAGCGTAAAGCGTTGCATGATCCTCGGTTGGCACTTGGGGCTGTCCCGTCTGCTCCGAGCCAGCTGTTCCTCGCCTGCTTGGCCTCGCGTGACCTGGGTTATTGGGGCTTTAAAGGTGGTGTGACCTGAGGGGGAGTGAGAGGGGATTGTGGCGGGTATGGTGACTGTGGGTGAAGGGCGTGACGTGTATGGTGACGAGATACGGGTTATTAAAGGAATAGTGACTGATGTGGTGGTCTGAGAGGATTGTGTGGTGGGTATGTTGACTGAAGGAGGCGGGCGTGACTTGTGCAGTGACGAAGGGAAGGGGTGGGTGAGGGGAGGCGTAATAGGAATAGTGACTGCTATAGAGAACCATAACGGATATTGTGACTAAGATGACCACAATAATCAGACCAGCTGTGATTAACGAGGTATCAGACAAAATGCAGCTTTAAAGATATGTTTATATCAAATAGGAATAGATGTAAAGGCAGGCTTAAAAGTGCTTTGGCAGATTACCATTATCAGTACTTTTATTTGTTATTTTCTTAGCGATAATCGTAAACTCCGAAGATAATATTTCTGACTGATGACACAAGGATATTTGGATACTATGTATTAGATAATATAAATATACATTTTAGTGCATGAAACTAACGATTTTTCGAGACAAAAAAGCGGCTTCAACCCCCTTCGCTTTCAGCTTAGAAGAAATGTACAATAGATTTAGCTTTTTAGTCGTCATTTTAAGAATACAATAAAAAAGCAATGACTGTTTCAATTTTATCATTTGTGAACTTGATATAAACGTTTACGGTTTTGTTATATTGGACTTTTGTTCTCTTGCAGGATCAAATGACAAGATTTATATCAAATGATGTTTCCAGAGCAAATTTGTACAGGATTTGCAACATATTCTCTGTTCAAGATTTTTACTTTGATGTTTGCAATGACCTGAAACTGCATTTCATCCAATGAACGCGAATTTATGCGAAAGAAAGCATAAAAACACGTTGGCCTCTTTTTATGGACTAATTATTTTTACTATTTTTTTTGTTCTTTTTTGTACACCCTTTCCTCACGTTTTCTTTTCATCCAGCTTCGTTTTCCTCTTTCTTAATTCTCTTTTTCTTCCTTTTCCCGTCCTCTCCCTTTTCCCTTTCTTCTTTCTCTCTACCTCCTTCCTTTTCCTTTTTCTGTTTCTCTCGTTCTGTTTCTTTTACTTTTATTTCCTCCATTTCTCCCCTCATCATCCACTTCTCCTTTTCCTCTCCAGATTTCCCCTCTCCCTCTTCCTCATCTTTACCACCTCTTTCTTCTTCTGCTTCTCCTTCTTGTCCCTCTCATTTTTCCTCTCCCATTTTGCATTCTCTCTTCATCTTCCCTTCTTTATGTACGCCTCTCTTTTTCCCCTCATCGACAAAACAAAAGAAGTCTTGCTCTTCAATTTTGCTTTTCCCTCTTCTTTTTGTCATTCTCTCCCCTTTCTCTTCTCTCTCTTCCCCCCCCTTTCCCTCCCCTTTATGTCTTCGTTCTTTATCTTCGACCTTCCAGACAGAGCAGAATAAATCTTAATTGAGCTTCATCCTGTCTCTCCTTCTTATTCTTTTTTATCCCTTCTATCTTCCTTATTCTTTTTTATTCCTCTCTTCTTTTTTTATTCCTCGTCTCTTCCTTCTCACCCTTTGTTCCCTTTCCTTCTCCACCCTCAATCCTTTGTCCCCATTTCCCACTCCTCTTCTCCTCGCATCCATCCGTCACCCTCTTTTCCTCTCCCACTTTCTCCCTTTTCCTCGTTATTTACCCTTTCCTTCCTCCTACCTCTCTTCCTATTTCGTCTTTGCCCTTCGGGAAAAAAACATCTCAACTACGTCATATCCTCCCATTTCTCTTTCTTATTCTTCCTCTTTTCTTCTTCCTTCTAATTCTTCCTTTCCCTTTCCATTCCTCTTTCCCTCTTTTTCTTTAAGAGTTGCTTATTCTCCTACTTCTCTTCCTTCTTGGTTCAAGCAAAACACGTGAGTCAAGAGTTGCGTCTCATCCTTCTCATTATTCCATCTTCCTCTTCTTTCCTCTCCTCCTCATTCTCCCTTCGATTTCTCCCTCATCCTCTTCCTCTTCCTCCCTATTCCCCCTTCTACTTCCTCATTCTTATTCCTCTTCTTTCCTCTCTTCTTCCTTATTCCCCCATCTACTTCCTCAATCCTCTTCCTCTTCTTTACCTCCTGCATCCTCCTCCTATACTCTCTCCCATTTTCGCCTTCGTCCAGGCAAAACAAGTGAGTCAAGAACTGCGTCCCATCCTCCTTATTCCATTCCCTTCCACTCTCCCTCCTTTTCCTCTTCTCCCTCTTCCTCCTCTTCTTTACCTCCTTTATCCTCCTCGTCTACCCCTCTCCCTCCTTCGCCCAAACAGAACCCGCGCGTCGAGACCGGCGTCTCGGCCGCAGCGTCAACGGCGTCAATGGCGACCTTCATCGATCTCGGGGAAATAAAATGATTATTTTTAGCCGCCAGGGGAAGGCGGTTCAGTTCGCGGGAACATTAATAAAAAAAAAAGAAAAAAAAAATCGGGAGTTGTAGAAGTAGTAGGTTTATGCTCACTCTTTTTTCCTTTTTTCTTCTCAGTATGATGATGATGATAATGATGATGATGATTATTATCATAATTGTTATTATTATCATTTTTATTATTATTATTATCATTTTCATTATTATTATTGTTAGTGTTGTTACTGTTATTACTATTAATACTATTAATACTATAACTATTTTTTCATTAGTTTCATCATCATCTTTTTCTTCTTCTTCTTCTTCATCAATTCTCTTGTTGTAATAGGTGTTATTTATGCGATTTTAAGACCAATGTTGCACGTGGGAAGCTATTCGATTTTTTCCCCTTTTTATTATTTTTTAATCTATTGTTTTCCCCTTAAAGCTAGTTGTGGTGACATCGGGCGGCGCTGTGGCGCGAACGGGTGTTTATACAATCTGTATAACCCTTCCCCACACGCAACATAAATCCTCCCCACGCAAACATACACCCCAATGCACACATGTACCTCCCCCACCCACCTCATGTTCACCTCCACATAAACCTTCCAGCACACCTCAGGCGGTTTGACACTTTACCTCTTACGCATTTATCTCACGCGTAAGCACACGCACGTGCATGCGGACCCTCACACTCACTCGCTCGCTCACTCACTCACTCACTCACTCACTCACTCACTCACTCACTCACTCACTCACTCACTCACTCACTCACTCACTCACTCACACACACACACACACACACACACACACACACACACACACACACACACACACACACACACACACACACACACACACACACACACACACTACACACACACACACACACACACACACACACACACACACACACACACACACACACACACACCTACACACACACACACACACACCACACATATACACTCCCCCCCCCCCCCAGACACGTATCCATCGGGCATGCCTGGCAGCTGACCTCGTTAGTCACCCCAGTGTCATCCACGACATTCAGGCCCTTCATTTTTGTCTTTCGATTCCGTTGCCTTTGGCCTTTCGTCGGGTCGGAAAGAGGCGTTATTGGCCGCGCTGTTGTTGCCGATTTGGATTCCTCGCTGGCGTGTTTGGCTTGTTTTCTGATCAGGAGTGTTGCCATGATTATCTGTGTTGATTTCATCGCAATCTTTCTCGGTCATTAATTTACCTCCCACCTACTCATTTGCTACGTACCTTCCACCCACCTACCTATTACGTACGTGCGTTCCACCCACCTATCACCTGCCACCCACCTACCACCACCTGCCACCCACACCCACCACCCACCTACCACCCACCTGCCCACCCACCTACCACCCACCTCCACCCACCTACTACCCACCTGCCCACCACTGCCACCCACCTACCCACCCACCCCACCTACCACCCACCCCACCTACCACCCACCCACAACCCACCACCCACCCACCACCACCTACTTCCCACACCACCATCTACCACCACCTGCCACCCACCTACCACCCACCTACACCCCACCTACCACCCACCTACCACCCACCTATACCCACCTACACCCACCTGCACCCACCTACCACCACTACCACCCACCTACCACCCACCTACCACCCCACCCACCACCACCAACCCACCTACCACCCACCTGCCACCACCTACCACCCACCTGCCACCCACCTACCCCACCTTACCACCTACACCACCTGCCACCCACCTACCCACCCACCTACCACCCACCTACCACCCACCTACCACCCACCCACCACCCACCCACCACCCACCTACCACCCACCTACTACCCACCTACTACCCACCTACCACCCACCTACCACCCACCTACTACCCACCTACTACCCACCTACTACCCACCTACTACCCACCTACCACCCACCTACTACCCACCTACCACCACCTACTACCACCTTCCACCCACCTACCTACCTACCACTCACCTACTACCCACCCACCACCCCCTTCCACCTACCACCTCCCACCCACCTCCCACCACCTACACCACTACCACCACCTACTACCCACCTACTACCACCTACCACCCACCTACCACCCACCTACTACCACCTACTACCCACTACACCCACCTACTACCCACCTACCACCCACCCCACTACCACCTACTACCCACCTACCACCCACCTACTACCACCTACCACCCACCTACCACCCACCTACCACCCACCCACCTACCCCACCTACCACCCACCTACTACCCACCTACCACCCACCTACTACCCACCTACCACCCACCTAACCCACCCACCTACCACCCACCTACTACCCACCTACCACCCACCTACTACCCACCTAACCACCCACCTACTACCCCTACCACCCACCTACTACCACCTACCACCCACCTACTACCCACCTACTACTACCCACCTACTACCCACCTACTACCCACCTACCACCCACCTACCACCACCTACCACCCACCTACTACCCACTACCCACCTACCACCCACCTACCACCACCTACACCCACTACTACCCACCTACCACCCACCTACACCACCTACTACCCACCTACCACCCACCTAACTACCCACCTACCTACTACCCACCTACCACCACCTACTACCCACCTACACCCACCTACCACCTACCACCCACCTACCACCCACCTACTACCCACCTACTACCACTACTACCACACCACTACCTACCCCACTACCACACCCACCACTACCACTACCACCCACCTACTACCCACCTACTACCACCTACTACCACCTACCCACCTACCACCCACCTACTACCCACCTACCACCTACCACCACCCCCCACCTACACCTACTACCACCTACTACCCACCTACTACCACCACTACCACCTACCACCCACCTACCCACCTACTACCCACCTACTACCCACCTACCACCCACCTACTACCCACCTACTATCCACCTACCACCCACCTACCACCCACCTACCTACCCACCTACCACCCACCTACCACCCACCTACTACCCACCTACCACCACCTACACCCACCTACCACCCACCTACCACCTACCACCCACGTAGGAGGGGTAGGGTAGTAGATCAGGGCAGGCTCTTAAGGTCAAGCAGAGATTAGGAAGAATTTTGGCGGGCGGAACAATTCGTAATTTTGTGCATCGGGTTTCCTGGGTACTTTCAAGCCTCGCCTTTTCCTCTCCTCTCTTTCTCTCTCTCTCTCTCTCTCTCTCTCTCTCTCTCTCTCTCTCTCTCTCTCTCTCTCTCTCTCTCTCTCTCTCTCTCTCTCTCTCTCTCTCTCTCACTTCCCTCGTCCGTACCCCTTCCTTCCCTTCTTTTCCCCTACTTTATTCCTGACTCCTTATTATCTTTCTCCTTTCTCCTTCATACTTCTTTCGTTTTTATTTTCCCCTTCATTTTTTTCTTCTCCTAATTAGTTTTTTTATATTTCGTTTTCCGTTTTTATTTTCTTTTTTTCTCTCTCCTTAATTTGCTTTCTCCAATTTACTCTGTATCTTTTTCTATACTTTTCTCTTTCTCTCTCGTCCTTCCTTATCCTTCCTTGTTCCCCCCCCTTTTTTTCTTTTTCCAAAACCCTTTTATCCTTTTAGAACTTGTAATTTTTTTTTCTCTCTCTTTCCTCTCTACCCCTCATTTTCTTCGCTTTTCTTTTCTTTCTCTCATTCCCTCCCAAAGACCTTTTTAACCAAATCATTTTTTTCTCTCTTCCCTCCTTTTCTCCCATTGTTTTCGTTTTTTTATTCTTTCCTAAACCCTGTAAAGCTTCCTTTTTTCTCTCTCTCCCTTCTTATCTCTCCTTTCTCGCTTTTCCTTCTCTTTTTGAAATCCTTTCAACCGTAAAACTTTTTTTAAAATCTCTTCCTTCCTTACCCCCCCCCCCTTTCTCGCATTTTTTTTCTTTTGTCTCTCTCTTCATTTCTTCTTTCCTTTCAACCGCAAAGCAACGCTGTTTGCAACGTCAGGTCGATCAAGGTCAGTTCAGGGAGCATTAGGTCATTTTCTCCCAAGAAAAAAATATCTTTTACTTTTTTCTCTTTTTTTTGTTCTTTCGTTCCTTCCTTGTTTGTTTATTTGTTTCTCTCTCTTTCATTCTTCCTCTCGTTTTTCTCTCTCTCTGTCTGTCTGTCTTCTCTCTCTCTCTCTCTCTCTCTCTCTCTCTCTCTCTCTCTCTGTCTTCTCTCTCTCTCTCTCTCTCCTCTCTCTTCTCTCCTCTCTCTCTCTCTCTCTCTCTCTCTCTCTCTCTCTCTCTCTCTCTCTCTCTCTCTCTCTCTCTCTCTCTCTCTCTCTCTCTCTCTCTCTAAGAAAAATCCAGTCAGACAACTTCTTCGAGAGGTGAATTTCATAACGCTTTTCTTTGTTTTGATTCGATTCTATTTTTTCTAATGTTGGACTTGTTTTTCATGCATTTTGTAATGTTCTTTGGGATAGTTTTCCTTGGTCTACGAGTGAATCAATAAGTGAAACCCAGAGAAGGAAAGAGAGCGGGGTAGAGGGCGGGAGGGAGGGAGGAGGGAAGGAAGGAGAGGACGAGGGAAGAATCTAAGAAGGGATAGATATAAATCAAGAGACCAATCAGACAACAAAGACCATCACCAACCACACAATTTCATGCAACAATAAAAAAATATTTCACCCCAAAAATATTCACCAGATTTACCCCCCCCCCCTCCCCACCCAGCCCTCCCACCCCAACCCCGAAATCTCGTGTAGATCCCTTTATATTCACAAACAGTGAATAAATAAATAAGTAAATAAATAATTAAACATAAGTGGATGGATGAATGAATAAGTAGATAGATAAATAGATAAATAAATAAATAGATAAATAAATAAATAGATGAGTAACCAAATAAATGAAAATAAAATAAGAGATTCTAGCTTTGCATGCCGGCCTGCCTCAACTCCTGCTGCCTAAGACCCCTATAAGCGGGCTATTTCCCCCATAACTGCCCGTCCAAGGCCCATTTTCCTTCTGCTTTTTCTTGCAAATTGCGCGCTGTCTTGCATGGAATCTTGCTCGGGCTTGCTTCTGACTCCGCTGGGTTGGTGGGTCTGCACCGTGAGGGAGGAATGGAAGTCTGCGTGTGTGGCCATAGCCTGCTTTGTGAATGAATTGCTTGTATGAAAACATGGTCTGTGATTGGGCTTGGTTGAACGGAGGATATATATTTTTGTAAATCAGATTTGTATTGTTATTGTGATGATAATTATGATAATAATGATTATGCTTTATCAGTAGTCACATTTATTTACTACTATTATTATGGAAATGTTTTATTATGAAAAATAGAATGGAAATGGCGAGAGTAGAAACAAAACAACAGCAGCCATAACACAACAATAATAATAACCATAACACAACAAACAATAAATAACCCCAACACAACAACAATAATAATAACCCCAACACAACAACCACAATCACCACCACAACCACAACCACAACCACTACCACTACCACAAAGCCTTCACCACCACCCACAGCGATCACCCCGCAACCCCAACCAAACCCTCCCCCCCCTGACCAGCGCACATCCGCACAGCCCTCTAACCAAAGGACGTCTTGCAGGCATCTTCAACTCGACCGTCGGGAACCTGTCGGCCATCTACGAGATTGATGTCACGCCCGCCGGCTTCACCTTCCTCATCTGGACCGTCATTTACATCTGGCTCCTCCTCGCCCATCTCTACGGTGAGCATTTCGGTTATGGGGTGTTCACATTTTTTTTTTTTTTTGGGGGGGGTCGTGTTTTTTGTTTTCTGGTATCTTCCTCTCTTTTTTCCTTTCTTCTCGTCTCTCAGCTCCTCTCCTCGCTTCTTTCTTATAAAGTCTCATTTTTTCTTCGCATTTCAAACTTTTTTCTTTTTAAAAAATTCCTCTTCTTTTTCCCCTGTTCATTTTCCTCATGGCCTTTACCCTCCTCCTACCGCTTCTCCCTTCTTTTCATATTTTTCCTCGTCGTCCCTGCTCCTCCTCCCCCCCCCCCCACCCACCCTATTTTCCTTCTTCTTCTTATTCCTCATTTTCCTCCTCCTCCCCCCCCCACCTTTTCTTCCTCTTATAATAATTTTTCTTCCTCTTCCTCTCCCGCCCCCCTTCTCGCCCCTCCCTTCTTTACGGCTCCTAATTCCCTCCCTCCGTACTCCACCCTCCTTTGTTCACTCCATTTCATTATTCTACTCTTTATCTACTTCGTTCATCGCAGTAGATCGGAAACAACGGTATTTTTTCCGTTCTCCTCTCAACTACCGCTTTCCATTTGCTTGTCTGCGAATACTGCTAACAGTCGTTGTGGAATATCGGTTGTTAGGTACGGTGTAGCTTTGAGATTTTGTTATCCTTGATGATTGTCTTATCTATTTAATGTATCGAATTTATCAACTGGTTTGTTTAAATAGAAATATATATATAAAGAAATATATAGGATTACTTTTTCTTTTTTTCTTTCTTTATCTATTTATTCATTCATTTGTTTGTTAATCATGCATTTATTTATTCATTAATTCATTTTTATTTGAGCTCCGTCTTTTTTAACATTTCACATATTTGTACAACTCGTTTTTTGTTGTTCTGCTAAATAAGCCGGAGAGGTTGATTTATTTCGTTTCTCGTCGGTTGTCATTAACATAGATCGCATTTGGCGTTCCGCTTTCATCCCGTTTCATCACTGGCTATCATGAGGAACAGGTTGCGTTATCTTTCTTCCTCGTTCCACGCCCGTTTACTCCCCTTCTCTTTCACCTTCTCCCTCTCTCCGTCTCCCTCTTTCTTTCTCTTCCTCTTTATATCTCTTACTATTTCTTTCTCTTCCTCTTTATATCTCTTACTATTTCTTTCTCTTCCTCTTTACCCCTCTCTTCTTTCCTCGTTTCTTCCTCTCTCCCTCTCTTCCTCTCTTCATAACCTGTTCTGCATATTTCGATAATCTGTGGTTTTAATATCTTCTCAGATCTATTAAATGTTAAGCCCCTATTCTCTCTCTCTCTCTCTCTTCTCTCTCTCTCTCTCTCTCTCTCTCTCTCTCTCTCTCTCTCTCTCTCTCTCTCTCTCTCTCTCTCTCTCCCTCTCTCTCTCCCTCTCCCTCTCTCCTCCCCTCTCCTCCCTCTCCCTCTCCCTCTTCCCCTCCTCTCCCTCTCCTCCCTCTCCCTCTCCCTCCTCCTCTCCCTCTCCTCCGCCCTCCCCTCCCTCTCCCTCTCCGCCTCCCTCCACCTTCCCTCCCTCTCCCTTTTCCTCCGCCTCCCTCCCTCCTTCCCTCCCTCTCCCTCTCCCTCTCCTACCCTTTTTGTCCATCCAGTAACTTTTCTTACAATGTGTAAATAGATAGATGTACATGTAAATTATTATGCATGTATACAGATGGATATATGAAGATAGACATACACGCAGATAGACAGGTATAGATATACCAATAGACTTGCATCTATACATCTGAAGTTCGATATATCTATCGGCAAGTATGCATACAGATATATGTATCTATGGAAAGATGGGTGGATGGACGGATAGATAAATATATGTGTAGATGGGTAGAAAAAAAGAGAGAGAGAGTTAAATATAAAGAGAGAGAAATGATAGATAAATAGACAATAGATAGCTAATCCCCCTCCCTTGCAGCCCTGATCCTGCTGTGCCGCCGCAACGCCGTGGGCCCCGTGTACCTGAGCCCCGCCGTGCTCACCCCGGCCTTCCTCGTCACCTACACCATCAACCTCCTGGCCAACGTCACCTGGCTCTTCCTGTGGGACCGCCAGTACATCATCTACTCGTCGGCCATCCTGTGGGTCGTGTGCCTCACCAACTGGATCGCCTTCGGTTTCATCCATGGAAGGTGGGCTAGTTGGTTTGGGGAAGGGAAAGGAGTTAGAGGGGAGGGGGAAGGGTGTGGGGTTGGGTGGGGTGGGAGGGGAGTTGGTGGGTTGAGGGGAATGGGGGAGTTGGGGATGGAGGAGATGGGGCAGTTGGGTTGGGTGGAAGGAAGGGGAGTTGGGGGTGGAGGGAGGTGAGGGAGTTGGAGGGGGAAAGAGGAGTGGGGGAGTTGGGGGTGGGGTAGTTAGGGTGGAGGGTGTTGGGGGAGTGAGATATGGGGGTTGCGGTGTGTATGGGTGTCTGTCTGTCTGTATGTATGTATACGTGCCCCAGTGCGTGCACGCGCGAGCCCATGCTTTACATAATTGTTCATTGTGGTTGTATATGGTATGGTATTGTTAATGATACCATTACTGGGAAGGAAGTGAGCGACTAAATGAGTGAGACTGAGATTATTTGAGATTATTTTCTCTCGCTCTCGCTCTCGCTCTCTCTCTCTCTCTCTCTCTCTCTCTTCTCTCTCTCGCTCTCGCTCTCGCTCTCGCTCTCGCTCTCGC